TAGTCTTGTTTAGATTGATCACCTAGATTAGGCTTTTCATATCTACATCTGAGTTAGACCTGCAATCCGTAATTGTTGTTGTGTTTAATTCATAAGAGGTAACCGGAAGATAGTAACTACCGGGGATAACACGGCCTAATTAAGTGAACGAACGCGGTTGAGTTCACTAATTAGTCTAGCCTATTTTTCTAAATCGTAAAGCGGCTAATTGTATTAAATCTTAAAAACGTTTTTCTGGACTGTACAAGAAGTCAGGTTTAATCGTCGAGCGTCTCGCGGTTAAATTAAAAATAAGGAAAAATTCGGGTAATTGACCGTGTCGTTGCCTAGGGCTAGTAATTTCATAAGATAGCGAGATTTGGTACCAGAATTGATTAGACGAGTCAGTCGAGGGTGTAGACGGAACCCTGAACTAGATATTTCTCTTCATTTATTTTATTTTATTATTATTTTTTATTTAGATGTTATTTATTTCATTAGTTAGTTTAGCTATTAAATCACAATCCCCCCCTTTTATTGCTTTTTATAAATTCAGTTAATACGAGAAAATTCACGATTTGATTCACACTCCCTGTGGGATCGACCCTTGCTCACTACTACTACTAGTTGGTAGAAGTCGGTTAAGGAAAATATAAATTATAATTTTGCCGCGTTGCGACGCGCGGTCAAATTTTGGCGCCGTTGCCGGGGAATGGCGTTATTGAATTGTGATTTTTTTGAGTACTAATTGAAGTTTAATTTTTTAGGATTTTATTTTTATCATCTTTTATTTCTCTTTTATTTTTTTTTATTTCTTTTATTTTCGCGCAGAATACTGGGAGACCCCGTACTCTGCTTGACAGATTAGTTCGCCCCCATACTCTTGGGAGTAACTTGAGTTTTGGCGTTTTTGATCGAGCTTAGCGCAACTTTTCGTGATGGCAGCCTATTATCACGACTTTTATACCCACCAGGCACCTTACCAGTATGAGAGGGAGATACGAGGCCCGTGGATTGGAGATAGAGGCGTAAGAGGACCTAATGGCTGGCGAAGGTACGAACAAGACTACATGTATCCCGAGGAGAACGAGTACGGCTTGAGAGAGCACTCAAACTCTTTCCATGGGTACTCTGAGCCACCGATTGCGCGAGATCTCAGCCCATCGCTAGAGGATATGGTGAAGGCACTAAAGGCTCACACGTTGAGATTTCTGCAAGAACACTGTGAGCCATTAATTGAGAGAGATCCTGGTCCGTCGCTCGAGGAGCTGATGAAGGAGTTGACGGCTAACACTCTTAACTTTCAGCAAAGTGTTGAGGCGAGCATCAAGAACCAAGAGGCGAGCATCAAGAGCCAAGAGATGAGCATCGAGAACCATGGACTGCGCATACAGAATTTACAAGGCCAGATGAGCCAATTGGTGGACCAGATGGACCGACTAGTGTATCGGCTGGAAATGAGTTCAATGAGTTCGAGCGTCATCCATTCGTACAGCGAGGACCTCGAGGAACTTGAAGAGTGCACACACGAGCCGGAGAACGAGAAAATTACGAATATCGAGAAGAATGAGAGCGAAAAAGAGAACCAAGCTGCAGAATATGGGGCTGAGCAGCAGAATACAGGGGTACCCCATACTCGACCTGCTGTAGCCAAAAAGCATACCGTTCTTCCCGCTCTTGTGCAGATAGAAGCTGAACCGTGTCTTGTGTATTCTAATATGAAGTGGGTACTGAGCAAGGATGCACTGAAGGATGTCTTGGGCCTTGATATACCTTCTGTTGAGACGATCGAGCAAAACGAAAGGTGTAAGTGGGAGTTTCATGAGGCGGTGACCGTGATCGAGCGTGGGTTGCTACACATACTTGAGGAATTAGCGTCATGGAGGAAAGATCCGGTGAAGCACCCAACACCGGACAGTGGGAATTTCGAAGAACATGGGGTGGTGAGATTGATGCCTCCCTTGAGGCCACCTCCGAAGCCGCCATGGATCTTTTGATGAAAAGGAAGCAATAAGTCGGGCCAACGACAATAAAAAGAGGCGCTTGTTGGGAGGCAACCCAATGGTGTGCGTGGTTCGGAGACTTCCTCTGCATTTACTAAGGTGAACTCGTTTCTTTTACCTATATTTTTTGTGAATATTGGTGTCGATGATATATGCAAACTCTAAGTTTGGGGAGGTGGTTTATTGATGAGCATTCATGATATATTATGTCATTATATTTTTGCCCCTTAGATTTTGAGTTCTTAGATTATTGCATGATATTTGTTTGTCTTGTGTGAGTTTGCATGTACGTGGAATTTTGCGATGATGACATGAGAGTCGATATGGATTTATTGTGCTAGTTTAAATGGCTTGAGTTAATTATATTTGGTTAAATTCTTAAGGTGTTTTTATTTTGGGGACAAAGGCATGATTGTTGATATTTTTGTGATTATTTGTAGTGAGTTGGTTTTGAGGCGATTTGTATTGTTGACATGTGCTTGTGATTGCTTTAATCA